CCTTAAAGCTTACGCTTTGTGGGGTATCTTACCCACCTCGGTGTAATGGTTTCTTCCCCATCACAGATTTGACAAGTATAATGGGGGTCACCATCACACCTTAGTACACTCGTTCCTTCCTTGTCGCGAAGGCTACAAATGTGCTCGGGGCCTCTTTCGCCATTGTCTTAAGGATATCTAGTGCTCCCTAGAATGAATGTATTTATGCATGCACTAGTACAAAAGGGCGATAGATGTTCAAAGTGACATAACTTTTGAATGGGTCGTCTGATTTGGGCGCACAGCATGTCAAAACCAAGAGAAAAGGGTGAAGAACCAAGCTACAAATTTCCAAAGGGGATTTGGCCCAGTAATTTTCCCAAAAAACGCTCCTAAGTCCCATTTTTTAGGGGTTTATTAAAATGATGCGTATGCATACTTTCCTTATGCATTTATTTTCTCTCTTGGTTTTTTCCACTTATGACATGATGTGATATGAATGATACAACTTTGTCAAAATTATTTTTATAAATGTTTTGATTTTTTTATTTATTTTGGATTTATTTTTTATTTTTATTGCTTTTTATTTTATAGTCTTTTATCTCTTCTGTCAGGATCTGCGTGGCTACCTAGCTTACAAAGAACCCGAAACCAGGCTAGCTAAAAAGCGGATCGTCCGAGATAAAAATATGGCTTTATGCGAAAAATAGTTAGCATCCCTTATCTCTTTTGTCGGAACTGCGTGGCTACTTAACTTACAAAGAACCTGAAACCAGGCTAGCTAAAAGGCAGACTGTCCGAGATAAGGGCGTTTATTTGCGAAAGTTTTTTTTTTGTGATTTTTGTTCTGTTGTTTGTTTATGCTATGCAATCAAATGCAACAAACAAATGCACATACAATTCACTCATCCGCGAATAGGCGAGAAGTCGTTTTAATCACGAGGTAGGGTTTTCCTGTAGAAAAGTGCATTGGCGAGGATTGGTTCTAACTGTTCTCACCAGGCTAAGGCCCCCAAGGTGCCCCCATTATAGGGTCCCCCCTCTCCAGCCGTCCGACTATGCTTAGCGCTAAGGCCGTAGTCAGTCTTGTTGCCAAAAGAGGAAGGTTATCACCTTGAGTGGTGGTTTCCGATCACACTGGTGGGCTCAAGGCCCTCACTACAGCGAACCGTACCTGCCACCCACTCCCTATGGTTTTCTCACTTGCCCCCGGGTATAGAGGGAACTGTTGTGTGCAAAGGTTTGTGTACAATTTGTATTTCACACAATTGCGGAAATATAAACAGACAACAGTTATTTAAAGCCAAGCAATAAAACATGTTATAATACAAGTTAAGGGCAAAAGTATTATTTTCTTGGTTTATTTATTTTTAAGCCGGCCCATCACTAAATGGGATCAACTCTCGAGGACTCCCCAGTGGAGTCGCCATCTGTCGCCGCCGTCTGAAAAAGAGGCGGTTGGAGCGACGTGATGGTTTCGACCCTTTTTGTTTTTCGCGTTTTTTTATGGGTAGTTACAACGCCTTTAGGTTGTCCAATAACCGGGCTAACCTAGGGGCGAGGTTTTCGAAAGGTCGTCCTTGGGTTGTCCGATAACCGGGCTAACCCAAGGACTAATTTTGAGGGGTTCTGTGGAGACGCCACCGATGTTTTTACCGGAAACATCGGAAAAGGTGTTTTAAAAGGCGTTGGTTTTCAAAAACCAACTTTGGTCGTTAGAACCAGAGTTGGGTAAGGGAGTTAGTTACGTGTAAAGAGACTATTAGTCCATTTACGACGCCCCTTTCGGGTTCCCTATGACAGGCCGACTATTTAAAAAATATTTAAACTGGTGAAAATTACGCTTTTGCCCTTTTTATTTTGCGGAATTTAAAATTATGACTACATGGCTCTAATCTATTGCATAATTTAAAATTTAAAGCAGTAAAAGATAGAGAGGAAGAATTTAAACCTCCGAAGCAAGCTTTTTATTTTATTTCTTTAAAAGAAATGGGTGCTTTTTGGCAGCCCTTCACTCTACACGACGTTGGAAACTTTTCTAGACGCTGAAAAACGCTCTCAAAGGCACTCAGAAACTCCGGAAATGCGTCGGAGGGATTCTAGAGAGAAGTTTTAGAGAGAAGGGGGAGCTAGAAGCTTGTGGTGTGTGGAAATGAGGGGGGGAGGCCCCTATTTTTAGGTTTTCGCGTCTGGCAGTGGCGAGACCGCCGTTCTCGTCTGACAGGGTCGAGACCGCCGTCTCGCCAAACGAGACTGCCGTCTCGTCCTTCGCAGGTGGCGAGACCGCCGTCTCGTTTGGTGAGACGGCGGTCTCGCCATTCGCGTGAGGTGAGACGGCGGTCTCAATTTCGAGACGGCGGTCTCGTCCCAAAAAGGCGAGAAAACTTATTTTTTGTGCAGAAAAACCTTCCTATCCTAATATGGGGCCTAATAGTCTCTCCTAGTGGCTTGTTAGGCTTTGTCCATCTTCAAATAGGAGGTCTTCTGGTCTTTATTTGGAGGCCGGGCAAGATTTGGGGTCTACATTCATCCATGTTGGTACCAATCTGGATAAACTTGTTATCGTCAATTAAGACCTTTTTCAAATCTTCCGCTGGTTGAGGTCGACGATCCTCGAAGACACGTGGGTCCAAATCCAGCATGTGAACTTCTGAGTTATTTAGACCCGATGAAAACACCCTCCTTTGGAGAAGACTTCCTTCATAACATTTTCGTGCAGTCTTCTGATTAACCCTTACAATTCCTACCTTTCCATTAGCAATGGGGTATTTAAGTTTCATGTGTTTAGTTGATACGACGGCTCCCAACTTGTTCAAAGAAGGTCTCCTTAGCAACATGTTGTAAGATAATATTGCATTAACGAATAGGAATTTTATCATAATCATTTTTTAATATCCCTCTTCGCCAAATGTAACACGTAACTCTACATATCCCCGAACTTTAACTTGCTCTCCCGTGAATCCCACCAGGACTCTTGAAAAGGGCTGTAGGAGGTCTGAAGAGATTTGAAGTCCTACAAAAGTGTGCCAATATAAAACATTTGTTGAACTACCTTGATCCACCAGATCTCTGTGAACATTTCGTCCTCTCATAATTATGGAGATGACAATAGCGTCATCTTCGTGAGGAATGACGTCTAATAGATCTTCATCAGTGAAAGTAATAGCTGGAGTAGGTGAGGATCGAGCTACTGTTGTCGCTGTAAGAATTTGTCGAGCATATCTCTTTATGGAGGAAGAGGTGGGTCCTCCGCCTGCAAACCCCCCAGATATGGTATTGAAATCCCCGAGAATAGCTCTTTCATGTTCACCCTCTTGACAGGATGATTCTTTTCCCCTTTTATCAAAGGATGTCCTTTTCTAGAATGGGTGAGATGGATTGGGTAGTCGATTTAGCCTGAACATTGATAACCTATCTTTTCTAATTAAACGATCCACCTGGTATATTAGCGTTTGGCATTCTTCCGTGTCATGTCCTCGAGCTCGATGAAATTCACACCACGCCTGTTGTTTGGGACCGAGCTGCTTATGGGTGACACGAGGGAAATGAAGGAGTTTAGTTGCTCTTACTTCTTGCAGCAATTCTTTCTTTGACACGTTAAGCGGAATAGGTTGTTGCTAATATTGTCTAGTATTAGGCTCCGTGATCTGTCGATTAGGATTTCTGCGTTTGTCATAAGGATGATAACTCCTTTGGCTATGCGACCCTTGTACATTTTGGGCCCAAAAGGGTTTTACTGCATTGTCTTGCTGCAACTCCAATTGTTCAGCCACATGGCATTGGCAAATTGTTTGGTCGACCTCAATATGGCATGTGACTCGGGCCCGAACTTGTTTCATTGTTTTGCATGGATGCTTGTATAAAGATTCCATGAAAGGGTCCGCCCTCAACCCTTTCATAAAAGCATCCACAAACATGGTTTCATTGGGAGGTAGGATCCTAACGGTCATGCTACCAAATCGGTGCAAGAATGCCCTTAAAGATTTGGTTTGTCCTTGCCGCATATCAAAAAAATCATTCGTCTCAGGGGCTCTTTGTTTATTAGCAGCAAAATGGGCCACAAAACTTTAGCCAAGTCATCGAAGCTAGATATTGACTGTTCGGGGAGATAAATGAACCAATCCAATGCAGTTCCCCATAAGGTACCTACAAAAACTTTACAGCGAACAACATCAGACCCGTCGTTGATAATCATTTGTGCCCTGAAAGCCTTCAGATGTGTCAATGGATCTTGAGTTCCAGTGAATCGATCGATTTTAGGAGTAATGTAATGTGGGGGCAGAGTCTCCTCCATGATGGCCTGTACAAAATGCTGAAAATCCTTCTGCACTATCTCTTCCTCATCGTCACTTGAGCTGGGTCGGATCTGTTGTCCGATAGCTGCTTGCAACTCCTCATTCTGTCTTCGCAATTCATCCTGCACCTGAGATGCCTTTGTTGTCATACACTGGGCCTCCTCAGTCTGTCGCCGCAATTCCTCCATTTGTTCTAGGATTAGTTGCATTGCAGAGTTGTTTGAGTCAACCCCATTAGAGTCTTGATTGTTGCGATTACTGGTACGAGTCACCATGGTCGTTTTTGCTATTTCATGTGTGGAGTAGGAAAATTTTTTACCGTCCCCACAGTGGGCGCCAATGTTCTGGAAATAAAAGAGAGATATCTTTTTGTTTTTTCCACCTCCCCTTTTATCCCTTTTTCTCCATTAGCCATTAGTTTGTTTTTATTGTTTCCGACATTATCGGCCTCGATAATGCTTTGTTCCCAACTACCCCTATATCTCGGGCCCATTAAATAATGGTTAACTCCGTTTTTCTTTATGGACCTATTTAGCCCATTTTATTAATAATTAGATTTGGACTCCACTTGCCCAATCTCTATTCACACACCACTTATAGAACAAATATAGTCAAGTTTCGGAAATCGAAAACCCTAAAAGATAAAATGAAAAAAAAAAACTAATTCATATAGATAAGAACATAGGTTCCTATTACACATTATCAGATTTTCAAACACGCAAAAACATGGATTCATCTTCTATATTTTGGAACCGAGGACAGATATTGGAAATCCGACATTCAAAGGAAGAACACTCTACATCAGTAGTCAGAGTTCAATATTTCCTTTATTCTGAGAAGAAAAAATTATATTATTTTTAGAATATAATATTTTTAAAATTTAAGATTATATTAATTATTTTTATTATCTTTTTAATTATATTTATTATAAAAAGAAGATAACAAATTATTAAGAGTGATTTTAAATAGAGAATATTAAGATGATAGTGATATTAATAAAAGAACTAATAAATTATTAAAAAAATATTTATCTTGATTTATTTAATTTAATCTTATATTTTATGACCACGTTGGAAAGTTGACGCTCGAAGGAAGAAAAGATGGAAAGTGCTGGGTTGGGAACGATTGAAGTTCAACAATCGAATGAAGGAATAATGAAAAGTGGAAGGTATGAAGAAGAGCACAACAAGGATGAATTTGACTGGATGGATAAGGCTGAGACCGGTTCTTGTTACAAAGAATATGCTTTATTATTAGGACTCCTTAATATACATTAACAACTATAAAATTTAAACTTCAAATAAGAAAAAAGAAAGACACAAGTCATTGAAGAATCTAGGACATTAACGTAGCATATTTTACAAAGATGACTGAAATCCAACACAAGAAGTGACCATTCAGAACCTCTAACGCCTACATTCGGCAGGAAGACCTTGTGGGAATCGCTTGAGATCATTGCAATAGTTGTAGATCATGAAGTACTTCTGAACCCATCTTAGTCTTCTTCTGCTATAGGCATCAAGCTCATTTAACTCCCATTTAGCACCAGAGTTTGAAATGGAAGACTTGGAAGAGAACTCAGTGGCTTTGAAATTGCGGTAGTATGCTGTAAATGGTGCTTTGGACCAATCAGTTTTCACCAAACCTCCTCTGGTGGCCCAGTCATCAGCATTCCAGAGGCTTGAATAAATTCTCATGGGCTGGTTCTTTGGAAACGGAACTCCAACAGATTCAGCATTCTTGAACACCCTTATGGGAGTGTTATCAACCAAGAATCTGCAGTTAACCCAATTGATGATTTAGACAACTAGTAGCATAGCAAGAAGAAAATTATCATACATGACAGACAATATAATTAAATGAGAATGTATTATGTATGAGGTTATCAGTGTATAAACGATTTACTCGAAAACAAAGATTTCTAGTATTGATTTCTTATGACTTACATGACGTGCTGGGGCTTCCAAATGATAGAGTAAGTGTGGAAGTTTCTGGTGGGGTCGAACCAGAGGTAGAACTGTTGCTCCCTGTTTCCTTTGCCTTGTGTGAAGATGTTTGTGTGGAGAATATAAGGGTCCCCACTTAGGTTTCCCAAAAACTCAAAATCAATCTCATCATGTGTAGGCCCTTGGGATGACAACTGCACCGCAGAAAATGGAAATACTACTATAGTCATTCATATCATATGGCCTTTGTGTGTGGTAGCAGCCAAACAACTAGGCAAAGAAAAGAAACCTTATTTTGAGGAACTGTGATTCTGCTTGTTTATTAACAGGAATTAAAAATAGTTTGCATGAATAGGAATAGGATGAGTTTAGCAACTAAAAAAGGCTTTACATTTTCTTATCAATTCAAAATCAGAAAGCACATTATGACAAATGTGATTTTATATGAAGATTCGACCATGAGAGCGAGCCCCCCATACACCACATTAATCCATTATCTTTTTTTTGTCATTAGATTATGCTACGAACAGATGTTTCCAATATTCAAAGTTAATGTTTTGTACTTGGTGCAAGTATAGCCACCTTCCCTTGTCACGAGCGCTTCTGAAATTCACTTCTTTAGAAAGGCCAAGTTGATTAATGTACACGTCAATGCTATGGAATGAGTAAATAAAACATTAGGTGTTGAAAAAGTAATATTCTGTAGTCTAACTTGTTTTTGTGGGTTTGCTAACCGTTCTCGTGAATGTATAGTTGAATTTGACAAAGGTTGATGTCTCAAGTGTAAAAGCAGGTCAATAATGGTCGTATTTGAAGACAGGATAAATCTTGTTCTTCCATAAAGAATCTATACCAAAGCTACCTAAAAGAAACATCACCCACATACAACCTGAATATGTATAGTTTTGGTTTGGCAAGAACAGGACAATGAGTGTAATTAGTATACCTTAAAGAAAAAAAGAAAAAAGATGATGCTTAAAATACAATATGTTCTGAAATTAATATATGTTTCTTATTTTATAGTTAGATTTAACTGATTTTATGTCTTATTGTTTATATGAAAAGAATAAAAGTTGTACTCAAGTAAAGAATAGTATAGAGTTACGTAATTAAAATAATGTGGAAAACTCATTATAGTAAATATTATAAACATACGTAGTAAGCAGTGACAGTGCCAGCAGAGTTGCCAGCAACGAGCTTGAGCTGCATGTCAATCCTTCCAAATAGGTAATCTTTGTTTGATTGAAACCCTGAGCCAGAGTCTTTGTCAAGGGAAAGAGATAGAAGCTGGCCGCCGTTGAATATCTTAGCACGGTTACCACCCCATGTTAGATCAAAGTCTTGGTAGAAGCTACCAGCACAGGTAACAACCAGAGTGCTAACTAGTATAAGCACACAAAACCCATCATGTGTAGAACTAGGAGCCATTTTGGACACACAATGAAAGAGAGAGAAATCGTGCTTCTTGTGATGCGAGCGAATGTGTTTGACAGAGGGATATATATATATATATATATAGACATCAGAGAACGAGAGAGAGGGAGAAAAATACAGGTGGGCATTGGGTATGGGAGAGTGGTGGGACGCGTGAAGGAGCAGTAACTGGGTCTGGTGGGGTCAGGACCAGTTGCCAGCATAGCAAGTTTTGAAAGCTGGAACCTTTTTGTTTGGGCATTGGTTATATTGTCATGGATTTTGAGTTATGATTTTTGGGTGTGTGCAAAGGATGATATTCAGTATGAGCAATGATTGTGTCCTTGATATTACTAAAACTGAAAAAAATAAATGAAAATAAGAGATATTTATCCCTGAAATGTAGCGGTAGACCCATTTTTGTATGATTTGGAACATAAAAATCCCATTTTTCAAAAAGAAAAAAAAAAGAAAAAGAAAATTGTGATGGATGCCAACTGGGTGTGATGTGGAAGGAGAATAAAGATGGTATTTTACCATTTCATAGTACCACCAATCATGAATTGTGGATCCACTTAGATGAAGCCATGCGGCAGTTGGTTCATGCCTGAGTCATTCATTGCCCCTATGCCATTGCCCAAGGTATCAACTAGATTTTCACTCTGAATATTTTTCAAGTTTGTGACATATAGATACTATTTGATGTTGGAGTAAATATTCAGAAAAATAGTCACGAGACTGCCAATGATATGGCATGGTTATCCACTTCGGCCATGCTGGTAACTCTCTCTGCTTGCTTTGTCTAAGGTTGATCCATTTCTTGAGTTTTAATTTGTCTTTTCCAATGCAGACAACAGCTTTGGATGTGAATGAGAAAACACATCAACAAGATAATTCAAACCAATATGCATTTTTTTCTCAGGAGTACGGTGCATATACAGTTATAAATAAATCTACTTGTATGACAGATTATTAATGTGAAAAATTGTTAAAGAATAAACAAACTTATTGCAATAGATTTTTCTTTTTCCTGATAAATGGTCCAAGCATTTAATGAGGAAGTTCTCAAGAATCAATTTTGAAATGGGCTAAGGGTATGTATAATGGCACAGTACCTTGGAGTATGGCAATGATGATCACTTCATCACTAAAGTACCTCTAACTGTTACAAATTATCATTATTCATCACTTCCCTTTTAAATAGATAAGAGTATTGGGATACTTTAAAACTACTTACTATATACATTAGAGCAAATTAATCATCATTTTTATGTGTAACTTTCCATCCCTTCAATGTTAATTAAACATCACTAACAAGTTATTTATTGGAAGAAAAGTGCAAACTTATTATTGGTTATACTAACTCATAAGGAGATGGTCAGTGGGAATCAAGTCATGACAACCAGCTAGCAGAATCTCCAACCTTTCCATGCAAAAAGTGACTAAAATGGTGATGCCTTATTTAAAAAGTACTATTTTAATGAATATGAGAATGTATATAGCACCTCACAATGGACCTGATCTTTTTGTGATGGTTTGAGGGAATTTAATTAGAGTCCTTCACTTCTTTCTGAATTCTTTCTTATCAGAACACAATGCATGTTTTCTTTTGCTAACAAAACAATAAACATATCCGTACAAATGGACTGCAAAGCATATGGTGATGCTTTCGGCAATTATGTTTTGTGTCCTTTTAGATAAAAACTTTGTGGGGTTGGAGATGAGTCTATATATAAAGTAGATTTGGGAAAGCCAATACATGGAATCATAGGTGCTGCAAGTGACTTGGAAAGTTCAACGGAACAAAAGACTAAAACAACGAGATGAATGTGAGTATAGAATTCAAAGACAGTGAAATCGGTGAATGCAGCTGAATTAGTTGGTGATGATATATAGATCCATTAATTAACCAAAACTACTCATTCCTCAAATTGCCACCTTCATGAAAAACAAAGGAAAGATCATAAAAAAAGTGTAATTTCATCCCTTAGCTCAATGATGAGACCTCCTTGTAACAAACAAACTTTTATATAGCATATGCTTTTGGTGAAGATTAAAGTAGGTATAAGCCATTAATTAGTAATTACTGATAGGTAAACATTAAATGCATGTAGTTGAGAGGTAGTGGTTATAGAGGTAGTAGTTGAGAGGTAGTAGTTATATTGAATGTATGTAGTTGAGAGATAGTGGTTGTATTGAATATATGTAGTTGAAAGGTAGTAGTTGTATTAAATGCATGTAGTTGAGAAGTCATATCCAAAGGCCTATAAATTGATCATGTACCACTCATTGCAAAATACATCAAGTGATAATATACAGAGTGTTTTATTTAGATACTTGTTTGTCAACAAATTGACATCAAAGCTTGAGAGCCTGAGTGTCTGAGTGCGTTAGAGAGAGTGTTTGAGAGTTAGAGAGTTTGTTCGAGATGACCAACTTAGCTAACAGTATGCCCCTGCCAAAGTTATGGAAAGGCATAAGCTATGATAATTGGAACCTGCAAATGAAGGCTCTCCTTGGTTCCCAGGAAGTATGGGATGTGGTTGAAAATGGGCACCAAGAACCAGAGAATATTGAAGAGTAAACGATTGCCCAACTTGTTGCATTGAGAGCAACACGAGTAAAGAACAAAACGGCTTTGTACGTGTTGTACCGAGCTGTTGATGAGTCTAGCTTTGAGAAGATAGCAAATGCTAAATCTTCAAAACAAGCATGGGATATTCTGGAGAAGGCATATAAAGGGGATAATCGCGTGAAGCAAGTTAGGCTTCAAACTCTTAAAGGCGAGCTTGAAAGCATGAGGATGAAAAAGGTCGAAGGGGTTGCCAAGTACATCTCCCGTGTTGAGACCGTGGTGAATCAACTCGGAAGAAATGGAGAGACACTGCCCACTTGCCGAGTGGTGGAGAAAATCATAAGGTCGTTAACTGACGACTTTGAGAATATCGTTTGTGCAATAGAAGAGTCCAAGAACTTGTCGGTGCTCTCGGTGGAAGAGCTTGTCGGGTCGCTTGAAGCGCATGAGCAGCGGAGAAGGAAGAAGAAAGAGGAGTCCCTTGATCAAGCACGCCAAGCAAAGGCAACCTTAAAGGAGAAGAAGGTTCCTTATGCTCAGAACACTCAAGGCCGAGGTGGTAGAGGCAGAGGAGAATATGAAAGAGGCAAGGAGCCAATCAGTCAACAAAACTGGCATGGCCGAAGACAAGGTAGAGGTCATGACGGTAGAGGCCGAGGTGGTTAGTCAAGCAATTCCGGAGTTGAGTGCTTCAAATGTGGGAAGTACGGTCATTTTGCTAAGGACTGCTATTCAGGTATCAAATGTTATAATTGTGGGAAGGTTGGGCATTTCGCAAAGGACTGCCGATCTGAGAGGAAGAAGGAAACAAACCTTCTCTCTGAGGACACTGAAGAAGAAGGAGTATTGATGATGTCGAGAAGTTCGGATGTCGAGCTAAGTCCGAGCTGTTCTGACAACTCGGTTTGTATCTTGATACAGGAGAAAGTAACCACATGTGCGGGGATAAGAACCTTTTCAAGGATCTCACTAAAGTTGAGGCCGGACACGTATCATTTGGAGATGCATCAAAGGTGGCGGTAAAAGGTAGAGGTACAATCTGGTACCTATAGAAGAATAACCGAGTTGGAGAAATCAGAGATGTGTACTATGTACCCGATCTCAAAAGCAACATATTGAGCATGGGTCAGCTGATGGAGAAAGTCTACACAGTTCTGATGAAAGATCGAGTACTATACCTGAAAGACAAGTCGGATCGTTTGATTGCCCGAGTAAAAATGAAGAAGAACAAAATGTACAAGTTGGACTTGAAGATAGTCCAAGAGAGGTGCTTGAAACTTGACGTGAAGGATGAAGCAATGATGTGACACTTTCTGTTTGGCCACTTGCATTTTGGCGGGCTGACCAAGTTGGTAAAGAAAGAAATGGTGCGAGGACTCCCGTCTATGGAATTTGAAAAGAAATTTTGTGAAGAGTGTGTACTCGGGAAGCATCCGAGGACCTCATTTCCGAGGACGACTGAGTACCGTGCAAAGGAACAACTCGAATTGATTCACACAGATCTTTGTGGACCGGTTACCCCTGAGTCTTTTAGTGGGAAAAGGTATTTCATTTCTTTTATAGATGATTTTTCAAGAAAAACCTGGGTATATTTTTTGATGGAGAAATCTGAGGTGTTTGAGGTGTTCAAGAGATTTAAAGCAATGGTTGAGAAAGAGATTGGCATGCCTATCAAATCTGTTAGGTCTGATCGAGGAGGCGAGTTCATTTCATCCGAACTCATGAAGTATTGCGAGGAGAAAGGGATAAGGAGATTTCTGAGAACACCATACTCACCCCAACAAAACGGAGTTGCCGAGAGGAAGAATTGAACCATTCTTGACATGGTTCGAACAATGTTGAGAAGCAAAAACGTGCCAAAGGAGTTTTGGGCAGAAGTAGTGCAATGTGTCATCTATGTGTAAAATAGATGTCCACATGCTAAGCTGAACGAGAAGACACCACAAGAAGTCTGGAGTGGAAGAAAACCGAGTGTGTCTCACCTTAAAGTGTTCGGTAGCATAGCTTATGGTCATGTTCCAGCTCAACAGAGGACCAAGCTCGAAGATAGAAACAAAAAGTATGTGTTTATTGGGTATGATGAAAAAACCAAGGCATACAGGTTGTTTAACCCAATAACTAAGAAGGTCATCATGAGCCGAGATGTTAAAATTGATGAAGAAAGCGAGTGGAGTTGGAACAACTCGGAGAAGGAGTCCATAGGAAGTAGAAGCTCGGAAGTTGATACACCACATATTGTGAGAGATCATGAGACTTCTGATGAAGAAGATGAACCTCTACAGCCCAGAGCGCGAAGTTTACAAGATATATACAACTCCACTAACGAAGTGCATGTTGTATGTCTCTTGGCAGATTTAGAAGACTTAAGTTTTGAAGAGGTCGTGCAGGAGAAAAGGTGGAAAAATGCAATGGACGAGGAGATCGGGGCAATAGAACGCAACAACACATGGGAGTTGACTGATTTGCCCAAAGGAGCGCGACCTATCAGTGTAAAGTAGGTGTATAAGAAGAAAACAAATGCTGAAGGAGAAGTTGAGTAATATAAAGCTCGACTCGTAGTGAAGGGGTACAAGCAAAAGGAAAGAATAGACTATGACAAAGTATTCGCCCCAATGACGAAAATGGAAACAATTAGGCTGCTGATTTCCTTAGCAGCTCAACATAGATGCACAAGCTGCAGAAATGTTCACGAAGCTACTGCCAACCACTCTGTTCGAAAACAGCAAGAAGATGCTTGGAATGAAGGATAAGAAAAGCATTTAAGTTTATGGGAGAATTTTGTTAGGTAAACATTAAATGCATGTAGTTGAGAGATAGTGGTTATAGAGGTAGTAGTTGAGAGGTAGTAGTTATTGAATGTATGTAGTTGAGAGATAGTGATTGTATTGAATATATGTAGTTGAAAGGTAGTAGTTGTATTAAATGCATGTAGTTGAGAAGCCATATCCAAAGGCTTATAAATTGATCATGTATCACTCATTGCAAAATACATCAAGTGATAATATACAGAGTGTTTTATTTAGATACTTGATTGTCAACAATTACAATCATTGTGAAATTAAATATCATGGAGGTATCATAATAATACTATATATTCAATTAGTAACCATAATGTTCTGTTTAAAGGAGAGGGCATTAATTCCAGATAAACAAATTGAGCCTTGGTTTCAACTTTTATATATGAGTGATCTACCAAACAAACCAACTACTAGCTACTGTTGCAGCAGTATTTGAAATTTGAGCTAACAATCTCCAGGTTTGAATGGTAGTTTCCCACAAGACAGAAGGGGTTGGACTGGCAGGCTGACACAGTGAATTGAACGTTTAAAACCAGAAATGGAGTTTCAAATATGTGTAGAAACAGTTTCTGTTCATTTTGAGAAAATACTAAACAAGTACAAATACAAAAATTGAAGATATTAAGCCTGTACATTCTTTTTGCACAAATTACTTTAGAATTTTTCTACCCATATCTAGGAGTATACCAATCAGTTTTATAAATTTCTTAGAACATTTATCTATAGAGAAAGAAATAAGAAGAAAAATAAAATTAACTTTTTGTTAATTTTAAAATCAGATGTTAGAAGATATTTTTCAGAAATTAATTCTATAAACAAGTTTTATTTTAGTTTATTATCTTATAATAATATTTATACAAAAATTTATCCAGTTTAATCAAATTTTTTTATCTTGTTTTGTTAAATTAATCCACGTTATTAGTTGAGAGAGGGTTAATCCAATTGGTTGAGAACAGTGTGTAGTTTTAAGTATCTTAATATATATGTGTTCAAATTTTACGTATTAAAAAATTAATCTAGTTTCAAATCCTACTATTCAAATATTTGCCCAGGATTTGGAAATTTTCAACTAACGTGCTCCGAAATACTTTAGAATGATACATGAAAATATGGGGAAATTATAAATTTATAAAATATAAAGAAAAAACATATAAGTTAAAATACCAATTTATGCACATTCAAAAATACAAACATATAGTTTTTTGAAAATTTTATTTAATTTTCAAAATTATTTTTATAAGAATTTCAAAATATTAAAAATTAATAAATTATTAAAATATTATTTAAAACTTAAAATTGTAAACATTTTATTATCCTTAATATTGGTTGAATAACTTTAAGTGTTGATTAAAATAATAAGGAAATTAAAAGTCTTCTTTATCGGGAAGGGAATTTTTTTAACCTGATAAATATTGATTTATTAATATAATATCTTTATAAAAGTTATTCCATTTTCAACATTGAAGAAAATTATAATAAGGCTAATTTGATTTATTTTTCAAATATGTTTAAAAGAATTAATTTTAAAATTAATTTGTATTTTAAATTTATGTAGTTTGTAAGTAGTACTTGATTTAAAGATTAAATGGATATTAGTGTGAATTTTACGAAATAAAATATATTTAGTTTATTTTCAAAAATCTAAAAATAGAAGGTTAAATTGTTTTATTTTTCCAAAACTTCTATTTCACTGTAATAGAATTCGTTGAATTTTCCTTAAGAATTAGGCATTGAGATTATGTGGGATTTTAAATCCATGAGAGGTAGGGAGAAGTTGATGAGAGAAAGAGTTGTAGTGCCTAATCAAAATTTGAAACAAGTTATTTTTTTTTCAATCTTATAACCATTTTGTTTGAGAATTTTTATGTTAGGAGAGGGGATAGTTAATTCCTAAGTTGTATTTACCAAACATTAAATTGAGCGATTAAACTTAGGTTGCATAATTGTCCGAGGAAGTTAAGGAATATCTAGACAACGGGACTAATTATTCAAGTAATAATATATTAAATTGAAAATATGTATTAAAGATGTTATGTGTATTTAAAAATGCATGCTTTGATTTTATTAGTGTTTTAATGAGTTTTTATTTATAAATAGGAGTATATTTGATATGTGTTGTATTGACGTTGAACTACGTTTGAACTATGTTTGGAATATGTTTGGATGGGTAAAATGTATTTGTTCTAGTTATCATTATTCAAGTTGTGTCTTAGACAATTCAGCATCACGTAAAATAATGGAAGAGGTGATTTAATGTAAAAATACAATATTTTGTATCATCGTATTATTTATACAAAAATATAGATTATACTTGAGACATACGAGAAGAGAATTTGATGTAGATATCTTCTTTGAGATGACTGTAATATATATATATATATATATATAGATTACATCCATTTTATGTAATGATTAAGATTTTGATGCAACAAGGAAAAATAGTGCATAATGGGGATCATCTTAGCAACTAGAGTAAAAGTCTCATCATAATTAATGTTATATTCTTATTTATTTCCAAGACCGACTAGTTAAGTCTTATAATAATAAATAGATTGACATGATTGTAGGTTGATAGAAAATACAAACTTGCTACCCAAAAGTTTAACAGATGAAAGACAAAGAACTATATCTTATATATGATTTGTTGGAAAAACAATAACAATAATAATAATCCTGATTTTGATTCTAACAATCAAACATAAACATAATCCCATACTGATAAACATGCTGTAAACTGAATGCGAAAGCGTACCTAAATTAGCCATAACGATGATGTCTTTGTAGAGCACTATATTGATTTTATGGTCTTCCACCTGAAGAGCACCTGTATTTCCCTCTTGATTTTCTCTCTTGATGGGGATAGAAAGAAAATAACGGGACTGATACTTACGTTCTGTGTGTGTGCTCTCAGAAGGGGACCATGACCCTTTAGATAACCAGAATTAGGTTAATTACTTAAGTTTTAGTATTTCCAATTTGGCCCCTCATCAAATTAGAAATTGCTCTATGGTCTCTACACAATTTTATTTTCATGACATATGCTTTTAGCCAAAACTTTAATTTAGTCAGATCACTTTATTATTTGGCTTAATAAATAATGACCCTAACACATTTAAATATGTATCATATATATACATGACCCAAAATTTGCCAACATGATTCTCTTCTATAGCAAGAAGTTCAACTTCTATAGATTTTTCCCAACGTTCATTCTCCATATCTTGCTTATAAGAAGAAAAAAAATATAAACAAATGATAATGTTCTAATCAAGGAACTGATATACATTTATATGAGTTTATGAATTTGTAAATTATGTTCTAAAGGAGTTATTTCTTGTTTGAGCTCAACATCTAAGAAAATATCTATAATGGGCCCATGAGATTTTGTTTAATAACTTTGGGAGGTGACATTATGTCTTTGGTAGGTTTAGGGTTTTCTAAACAATGGTTAGCTTGGAAAAGTGTTAGAAAATAAGGGCAAAATAATAAAAAAAATGGAAAAGATGGAGGTTCATGATGTGTTGTGAAATATGTATTTTCTTGAAAAATTACATTTCAAAAGACTCATCCCATGAAAAGTAGGATCATAACATAAAAAACCTTTTTGATGAGGAGAGAATTAAAAAAAAAGCACAAATTGTGTAATGAGTTTGTTACATTTTTTTTGGAGAAGATGAACATAACACAAACACCCAAAAATATGAAGATTGAAATAATCATGAGTGACCAAATAACTTAGTGAAGAATGATTCATTACTTATTGAAGAAGATGAAAATCAATTTAAAAGATAAATTGTAGTGAACAAGCTTTCACACCAAAATCATGATGGTACATGTGACTTTATATTCGAACAACATTAAGCAAATAACAATTTTTTTTTTCAACTATCCTATTTTCTTGAGGGGTTGAAAGGCATGAACTTTGAGATATAATAACATTTGATTAAAAAAATAATTGGAATAATTTTAATGTGCATGCTCCCCATTATCAGAATGCATAATCTTAATAAAATTTTGGAAAGTGGAATATACTTCATCTTCTAGGAATATATAAACTATTATAATCGTTAATAAAAGTTACAAAATATTTTGAAATTAACAAGATATAATTGGTGTTATTTTCCAAACATCATTATATCAAAAGGTTTTGTTACATGCAATTCATGTGTTGGAAAATGTAAAATTTTACTTTTGCCAAACTTTCAAGTAATGCAATTAAAATTAGGAGAATTGAAAGATGGAGTGTGTATATTATCAACAAAACCATATTTAAGCATGACATGAAATACATTTGAATTAGGGTGTCCAAGGTGTTTATGGCGCACTTGGTAATCAACAATAGAAGAATTACAAGAAACAAAAGGTAAAGAAAGATTAGGAGACAAAGACAAATTTATAGGAAAAAGACATCCAACTTTAGGCCCTTTCCCAATTATATTCCCAAAGTATTGATCCTACACAAGATAATTAAAATGTGAGAATTGTACTTGATAATTATGGTCAACTAATTGACCATTAGAAATGAGATTAATATTAAGGTCAAGAAAAACAAAAACATTGGCCAGAGATGAAGAAATATCACTAGTCACTAAAAGAAATCTGTGATTTTTTTATGAAAATTTGTTGATTGATTAATGATTGTCGATAAGTAGACATTATCGATTGATTTATCTGTCGATAAGTTGGTGAAACTACTATTAACATAATATTTCGATAATATCCATCGAAAAATATACCTCCATTTTTCTTCAACTTTATTGATGGATTTTTCAGGTAGAAGCTTACATTGAAAGGGTATAATCCATCAATAATTTCATTATGTTTGTCGATAAATAATTAAAAAAATAAAAATAAAATATAATTTGTGAGTTTCGTTGGTAATTGTCGTTGTTGTCCCCTCCGCGAGAGGGAGGGGAATCGAGAAGGTGTTGGTTTAAGAAAAACCAACTTTGGCCATTATAACCAGAGTTAGGTAAGGGAGTTAGTTACGTGTGGGGAAGGTGTTAGCACCCCACAATGCCCCTTTCAGGTTCCCTATGATGAACTAATTCTAAAATAAAGATACAGAAATTATGTCTTTACCCTATTTATTTATTTATGTGCAGTAATTAAATATCTACATGGCCCTAACTTCTAATGCACACAAAGGAAAGCGATAAAATGAAACTGATAAAAGAGAAGGAATAGAAAAAGAACATCCGAAGCGAGCTTTTTATATATATATATATATTGAAACTTGAGGATGTTATTTGGCAGTCCGCTCCCTTTACACAAGCACTCCTCCCACGAACAAAAACATTATTATACTACCGAGCACCGGATGTCTTAAAAAGAGACTTCCTCAACCGACTTAATCCGAAAAGGATAGTCGAAAAGACTACTCGGACACTGAAATAAAGCAAAAAATGCTCGAGAAAGTTTCAAAGTATGAGAGAGAAGAGAGAGAGCTCTGAATGGTGTGTGGAAATGGGAGAAATGAGCTCATATTTATAGGTTTGCGGATCTAGGAGGCCGGGATGGACATCCTTGATTTTGTCAGGTGGGACGGTCGTCTGGAATTTTGGAACGACCGTCCCATGTCCCCCAAGGGGGTTGGGACGGTTGTCTGGATCTAAGACGGCTGTCCCAGCCTTCTGACAAAAACCCTAATTTTTATTTTTCTAAGAAAACCCTCCATTTCTTAAATGGAACCTAGAAAATGGTACTAGGGGCCTAATGAAGCCTTGTCCATCTTCAAAACAGAGGATTTCTGAAACTTATTGTGAGGTCGAGCAAGATTAGGGGTCTACAACTGCCCCCCCTACACCTGACTGAACGGTTGTTGGCAAAAGTGTCATAAGACCGATTGACGGGTGAAGGAGTTAACCATCTTGCCCGGTTGTCCTTTGGATGCTCCTTTGGTGCGGTAGCTGACCCTCCAGACGAAGAATTGTGGTGCTTTCTTCAAAGTTGACCACAAGGTGTTCCCTTTGCCCCTGTGGTGATGAGTACGAAACTCCACCTGGTTTGAGCCCCCTTATGTAAGACTCAATGAGTACTGGTGTTGAAATTTCGATATTTGTGAACGGTTGCGATGGATGACTAAACTCGTATTTTTTGTAAAATTATGTGGTCAACATTCTTAAGATACCCGATAACTGGATTAACCTTAAGAATGAGGTTTTCGTAAAGGGTTCTATAGAGTCGCCACCGATGTTTTTACCATAAACATCGAAATAGGAAAAAAGAAGGCATTGGTTTAGAAAAACCAACTTTTGTTATTACAACCAGAGTCGGGTAAGGGAATTAGTTACGTGTGGGGAAGGTATTACCACCCCACAACGCCCTTTTGGGTTTCCTATAATGGACTAGTTTATAAATAAAGACTGAAAGAAACTATATTTTTACCCTATTTATTTATATACTAGCAGAATTTAAATATCTACATGGTCCTAGTATCTAATGCATACAAGGAAAGTAATAAAGAAAGTAGTAAAAGAGAGAGAATAGAGAAGGACTTTCTATTAATACTTCGAACATGAGGACGCTTTTTGGCAATCCCCTCGCTCTACAAGCACGCTCCTCACCCGCAACAAAGAAAATATCACTCTATCGAGCGTCGAATGTCTCAAGAGGAGGTCTCCTTAACCGATTTCTACCTTAACGGAAATCAGAAAGCTCACTCGAACTCTGAAATAATGCTCAGAGTCACTCTCAAGTGTCAAAAGACTTCCAAGAGAGTAGTAGGAGTGAAAGATGTGTGTAAGATGTGTGAAAACTATGTGAAATGAGGGGGGGGGGGGAGACTCCTATTTATAGGAATTTGTGCCAGGCAGGCCGGGACAACCGTCTGGGCTTCTAACAGGCGAGACGACTGTTTGGGAAAACTAGACGGTCGTCTAGCCAAACGGGATGGCCGTCTCGAGCCTCTTGTCAGATTTTCCTATTTTTTCCTATTTTTTCTGTACAGAAAGCCCTCCTATTCTTACATGGAGCCTAGTGAACATGCTTAGGAACCTAAAGAAGCCTTGTACCAACCCACATCTGTTGAGTACCAACCCCCATCTGGTTTAAGTACCCTTTTGTAAGACTCGTCTTCAGGATGCTCCTTTTGGTGTGGTAGTTGTCCCCGTGGTTGATGAGTACGAACCCCCATCTGGTTTGCAGTCCCCTTTTGTAAGACTGGATGAGTACGAACCCCATTTGGTTTGCAATCCCCTTTTGTAAGACTGGATGAGTACAAACCCCAATTTGGTTTGAGTCCTCTTTTGTAAGACTAGATGAGTTCGAACCCCCATGTGGTTTGAGTCCTTTCCTTGGACTGAACTGTGTGGTAACAGTTTACTGATCTTGGTCATGCATTGTCTCCATAGGGAGTGGTCTTTGTTTGAAACTTTGTGGTTGACTTTTCTGGTGTAGTCATCTCGTGTACCGGGGATTCTTTGATTTTTTAGGCTTTTACAATAACCATCCAACTTGTTGGTTGCTAGGGATTCTTGATGAATGCCTCTTAGGTAGGCAGGAATCTACTGTGTATTTGTTGGTTCTGATGATGCCTTTGAGTAGGCGGGTGCTTCGTTTGGAGGTGAAGACTTTTGACTGCAGTTCTTTGCCTCTGAATAGGCTGATGTTCCCTTTGGTGATGCTGGCTATTAGCTCGCCAGGTCTTTCCTATGCGCAGGCGAACAACTCTCTGAGGATATGAGTTTTGAAGATTTCCTTTGTAGTAGGCTCACTCGGGATAGGTTCTTCTTTTTGGGGATCCGCCGGAGAATTATTTGTCTCCCTTAGGATCTGATTTTTGATAGCCTTCTGGGGAATGGAGTCTTGTCTCCTTGATTGATAATGATGAGAGTTGGATTTGTAAGGCTCTTGTCACCGTCGTCAAAAGAGGCGGTCGGAGCGACGCGATTGTTTTGAATGACTCACGTTTTTTGAAAGAAGTGGTTCAACACCTTTAGGTTGTCCGATAACCGGGCTGGACCCAAAGACAAGGTTTTCGTAAAGGTTCGAGGATTCGCCATCAGTGTTTTAACCTTAAACATTGAAAAAGGTAAAAAAGAAGAAGAAGGCGTTTTAGAAAAAAACCAACTTTGGTCATTACAACCAGAGTCGGGTAAGGGAGTTAGTTACGTGTGGGGAAGGTGTTAGCACCCCACAACGCCCTTTTTGGGTTCCCTATGATGGACTAGTTTAGAAGATAAATACTTAAAGAAATTATGTTTTTACCCTATTATTCTATCTACTTGCAGAATTTAAATGTCTACATGGCCCTATTATCTAATGAACAAAAAAAAAGTGATAAAGAAAGCAGTAAAAGAGAGAGAGAATAGGGAAGGAACCTCTGAAGCAAGCTTTATATTAACCCTTCGAAACTTGAGGACGCTTTTTGGCAGTCCCCGCACTCTACAAGCACGCTCCTCCCGCAAAAGAAAGACAAGTCACTCTACCGAGGGCCGGACGTCTCAATAGGAGACTTCCTTAATCGATTTCTACTTTAAACAAAAATTGGAAAGCTCACTCGAACTCTGGAATAATGCTCATAGTCACTCAAAAGTGCCAAAAGGCTTCTTGGAGAGTGGTAGGAGTGAAAAGGTGTGAAATTTCGAGGAATGGGGGCCTCCTATTTATAGGGAACCAGACCAGGAAAAAGTGGACGGCCGTCCATGGCAAAAAATGGCCATGGATGACCGTCCATGTACTGTGGACGGTCGTCTATGGGCAAAAGTTTCCATGGACGACCGTCCAAGCTAAGTGGACGCCCGTCCATAGCCTTAAAGTTGGCATGGACGGTCGTCTGACTATCCTGGATGGCCATCTGACTATCCTGGACGACCATTTGTTGTTGTTGCCGCCGTAAAAAACGAGGCGGTCGGAGCGATGTGATGGTTCCGACTTTCCAATTTTCGCATTTTTTATTGGTGTGGTTACAACGTCTTTAGGTTGTCCGATAACCGGGCTGAACCTAGGGGCGAGGTTTTCGAAAAGGCGCTCTTGGATTTTCCGATAACCGGGCTAATCCAAGAACTAATTTTGAAGGGTTCTTATGGAGTCGCCATCGATGTTTTTACCGGAAACATCGGAAAAGGAGTAAAAAGGCATTGGTTTTCGAAAAACCAACTTTGGTCATTAGAACCAAAATTGGGTAAGGGAGTTAGTTATGTGTAAGGGAAGTGTTAGTTCCCTTATGACGCCCCTTTCGGGTTCCCTATGATAGGCCAACTATTTTAAGTAAATAAACCGGTGAAAATACACTTTTACCCTTTTTTTTTGGAATTTAAAATTACGACTACATGGCCCTAATATCTATTGCATAATTAAAAATAAAGCGGTAAAGGAGAGAGAGAGAGAGAGAGAGAGAGAGAGTAGAAACCTCTGAGGCAAGCTTTCTATTTAACTTTTTGAAATTAGGGTGCTTTTTGGCAGCCCTTCACTCTTTACAGCACCGGAATCTCTCAAAAACGCTATAAAAAACTCTAGAAAACGCTCAGAAACTCCGGAAATGCTTCAGAGGGATTCTAGAAAGAGAATTTTAAGAAATGACTAGAGAGAGAATGGAAGAACTGTGTGAAATGAGGGGAATGACGCAACTATTTATAGGAATTCACGCCTATCAGGTCAAGACGGGTCGTCTCGTCTAACAAGGTCGAGACAGTGGTCTCGCCACTTTCGCAAGGCGAGACGGCGATCTCGACCCTAAAAGGCGAAAACCCTTATTTACATGCCAAAAATCTCTCCTATCCTAGTATGGGGCCTAATAGTC